ATTCCTGTCCCCACCTCCGCCCCCCGCCCCGGGTCTCACCTCAAAAAACAAGAAAGAAGCAGTGAGAAGGTTTGGGTTTTTTTTCTTCCCCAGCCATAATTAAAAAGGACTCACCCTTCTGAGCCCTTTCTATCCCGGGAGGTCGAGAAGAAAGAGAGGGGAGGAAGGGGAAAAAACCTGAAAGAAAAGAGAGGAAGGGCTTGGGAAGGAGAAGAGAAGGGGGGGGCAAAAAGGGACGGGGAAAAATTAAAGCGGAGATTACACAAAGGGAACTCCTCTACCTTTGAAGCTTTGGCTAAATTGGGGAGGGGGCGGTGGGGGCAGGGAGGGCCCGGACCCAGTCGGCCCCTTTCTCAAAGCCCTCTCCTTTCAAGAATGTCTCAAATTCCTGCGGAAACAAGGAGTCAGGGTTGTGGGGCCGAAGGAAACAGGAGGGGAAAATAAAAATTACCCTGGCCGCTCGGCTAATTCCTGCCCGCCACACCTGGGCAGGCAGCGCCGGGCGCATTGTTCGGCTGTAATTGCTGGGTGTTGCATTTCTCTTCTGCTTTAAAGCTTCATTTAACTCAAACTGTTATAATTTTCTCCCCGCTGCCCCCCCCAGCCGTGCTCCCCCCCTGCATTATGCTGGCGGGGCTTTGTAGGGGCTGGGTGAGCCCCGGTTAAGGGATTACATCCTCCCCGCGGTCCGGCTGCCACCTCCCGGGGCATTGTCAGAGGGGAAAGCAATTATGGGGAGGTGGGATGGCACGGGCTGGGGGCACTGAGCTCAGGGCCGGGGGGGACAGCCCCGCTGGCGGCCGCCCGGGGGGGGGGGGGGGAGCCGTTGGCCTCGGGTGGATGGAGCAGTGGGTGCCACCCTGGGTACCACGCTGAGGGTGATGCCCTATGGGGGAGTGGTGGGTACCACGCCGAGGGTGATGCCCTGTGGAGGAGCGGTGGGTACTGCCCTGGGTACCACACCGAGGGTGACACCCTGTGGGGGAGCGGTGGGTACCACCCTGGGTACCATGCCGAGGGTGACGCCCTGTGGGGGAGCGGTGGGTACCGCCCTGGGTACCACACCGAGGGTGATGCCCTGTGGGGGAGCGGTGGGTACCATGCTGGGTACCACGCTGAGGGTGATGCCCTGTGGGGGAGCGGTGGGTACCGCCCTGGGTACCACACCGAGGGTGATGCCCTGTGGGGGAGCGGTGGGTACCATGCCGAGGGTGATGCCCTGTTCCCCAGGATGCAGCAGACACCCCCAGGACACAGACCAGGGGGGCACAAACAGGGATGGGGACACGGGGAGTCCCCTACAGCGGCCACCTTCAACCTCCTGCCATGCGACATCTCTCCCCGAGCATCCGGTGCTTGCACCCCAGGTGGGCGAGGACACCCTGTGCCGAGGGGGAGCTGGGTGCCCCCCATTCCAGCAGGCACAAAGCCTGTGGCAAAGCCTCGGCATGGGAACGAAAACTCCCCCAGGCCTCATCAATCTAGACACTCGCTTTTATTTGCCTCGGGGTTTCCTCCTTTACACAAATAAACTCCAAAGTCTAACCGTTTAGGCCTAAAACCGACTCGTAAAGGAAACAGCAGGGCTTGTAAAAAACACACAAACAACCAATCAAAAACTATAAAAATAACCTAAAGGTGGTTTCTCTTTGGCCAGCGGAGCCTGGTGGGCACCCACGCGTGTCCCCACGCTGCCAGCACCCCGGTGCCACCGGGAGAGGGCACAGACCTTCCCCTCCAATAAATAACGCAGAGACCCCATGGCCACAAGGATACAAGTGCTGGCCCCGGCATCTGTGTGCCCAGGCACCCTCTGCCTCCCCTCTGGAGCTGCACAGACAGACGGACAGACCAGCACCCCATGCTTCCCGTCACCTGGCTGCCCGCAGTGCCCTGCCATCCCTTGCAGGGACGGGCACAGCATCCCACGGGCCCAGGCTGGGGACAGACTCTCCATCCCACTCCGGTGGGGACGTCCTGCAGTCTCATGGCCGGTCCCATCCATCCCTGGCACTGAGAGGGATGTCTGTGGGGACAGGAGGACGGCCGGGGGTCCCAGCCCTCGGTGGCACGGGGACAAGTCTCCGAGGGGAGCAGGCAAAGGTACCGGGGGGTGAACGTGGGTACCACGGGATGCTCCAGGGACGAAGGGACCCCAGCGTGGGGCTACAGACACCAGTGACCGTGCCCGAAGCGTGCGCTCCCCAGCGTATTCGCGGTGCCCAAGAGGAGTATAAAAATAGAGCATCTTTAGACAAAAAAGTGGGGAAGAAACAGTGCTGGAGGGTGCCGGGAGAAGGGGCAGAGTCTGGCGAGGCTGAAGGCTGTGAGGATGAGGAGGGCAGGGCCCGTCAGGGGGGCAGGTCCGGGCGTTACGTGCGTGGGCGAGGGGTGCGGGTACGACGGGTCCGGCGGGTGGGAGAGGACGAGCCGACGAACTCGAACTGCTTCTGCCGCTCGGCGTTGTTGGGGAAGGGCAGCTGCCCGCGGTACAGGCGCTTGATGAAGTGGGCTTCCCGCTGGTTCTGGCGGCTGCGGGAGGCTTTGCGGGGCCGGCCCTTGCGGGTGAAGGCCATGTACCAGCCCTCATAGCGGGCGTTTTGGAAAGCCGTGTAGTTGTTCTCCAGCACGATCTCCGTGAAGATGCAGTCCTTGCTCTTGCCGTTGGGCTGCGGGAGGAGGAGAGGGAGCATTTAGCGCACGCAGGGATGAGGCTGGGGGCTTGGGGATGGGACCCACGAGGTGCTGCCGCCCCCCTGCCCACCCTTGCCACCCCATCCCTGCCTGGTTCACCGTGGCACCGACCCCAATGCACCGGGACCAGCTCCCTGGGGGCTTCTCCTTGCAGGAGCTGGGCTGAGCAGCACGGTGCTGATGGAGGAGAAGGGGGCCTGGCAGCTTCTGGGGGGACAGGGAGAGCCCCCCACTGCACCAACACAGCCCCTATGACTGGGGACACGGGGACCAGCCTGGCCGAGCATCCTGGCTGCAGCTGCTCAGCGGGGTGCCCGGGCTGAGCTCCGGGGACCAGGGACACACAGAGGGCGAGCCCGTCGGGGCCAGGACTCACTTTCCCGATGAGCTTGCCCCGCTTGCTCATGCAGATGTACTTCTCACTCTCAGCCCCCTTGATGCGGACGCGGCTCCCGAAGGTATCCGTCTCCACGATGAGCTTGGCTGCGAGGAAGGGAGAAAGGGGGAAAGTGTCCCACGGGGGCTGCGGCACCCCCCACGAGCTACCAGCACCCAAACCACCCCCATCTCACCCCCCAGCATCCCTCCCTTCCCTTCCTGCCCATCACCGGTGGGGCCAGGAGGACGGCGAGCCCCCGCAGCTGGGGCAGGGCAGCCCTTGCCGGGGGATGCTCCCCAGCCATGACGCTAAAGGGCTTTTGTTAAAACCCAGCAGAGTCAAACGGGGCGTTTGATGAAGGCGCCGGGGAACTTCCTCCCCCCGGCCCCGGCACATCCACGCTGTTGGCGATTCAATGGGTTCTCCAGGGCTAGACTGAGTCCAGCACCCGGCGGGTTAATTATCCTTGTCCTCATTGTTTCTCTACAAGACACCGGTGGCTGCAAAGGTTGGGAGCTGACACTGAAACCAATGACCCTGGCGGGTCTTGCGCTGCCGACAGCCGGTGCCTGAGCCGGCAGGGAGAATTCAGGGAAAGACCTGGAAAGGCGGTGAGTCAGCCTTGCTGGTCACCGGGCTTTGAAAAGCCTTTCCCAAAGCTTTTAGATGCTGGGGATGCCAACCTGGCCTTTGCGGGGCTGTGATGCCCGTTAGCGTGGCGTCAGGGCTGGGGGTCCCCGGCAAACCCCGTGGGGAAAGGTGATGCGGCCAGGGTGGGCTCTGCCCCGGCTGGGCTGCCACCACGTACGGATATTTAAGAGGCTGATGCCGGGATCAGGCAATTCTCCTCCAGGAAAAGTTGCCTGTCTCATGCCAGGAAGAGATTAGAAAGCAAAAGCCCTAAAAATAGGGCTTAAAAATGCGGCAGGGTATCAGAGAAATGCATGATTTTGGAAGTTTTGAGGTCAGGGCTGGCTGGTTGGGAGCCGTGCTCTCATGGGATTTATTTGGGGGATTTTTGGGTATAAAACCAGCCAGCTGGGGCAATCAAAACCTCCCCGCACCCCCCATTCCCCCTGCAAAACTCCTCTGGGAAGAGACATTTCCCTGGCCTTTTCCAGCCCTTCCATGAGCGCATGTCCCAGGCTGCAGATAAACCCCTCCGGGGAGATGCCAGCCTCTTACCGAACTTGTTGCCATCCTCGGCGGTGGCGGTGATCCTTTTGCCGTTCACCTGGACGTGCTTGCCGCTGGTCCGGCTGTAGAGCTGGTACTCCCTGATCTGCCGTCGGCTCAGCTGGTCGGTCATGGCACCCTGGTCCCTCACGTACTGGTTAAAATTAGGAGACGGTTGATTCTCCCCCTTTGTTTACAAAGGGAAAAATAAAATCAATTTGTTTTGGACAGCCGATGGCAAGGGGACGGAGTGGGGAGCCCGGCAGGGCGGGAGAGCTGGGGCTGGCCCCGGGGGACACGGAGATCCACCCGCCACCCCCGTCTGCGGGCGAGGGAGAGCTCCCAGCCATCGCCAGCCAAGTTGGTCCCCTTCGAGCAGCAACGAAGGCACCGAGCAGATGCTTTGGACCCGAGAACGGCTGGCACAGTGGGCCAGGAGAGGCAAAGATGTTGCTTTGCGATCCGTGCATCAGGAGGATGCAGGGTCTCGCAGGGAAGGATGCTCTCCTCTGGGCACAGTTGACCGTTCCCTCCGGAGCGGGGTCAAGCTGCTGCTCCCAGCCATGCCCCGGTGCCAGACGGACACTCAGCAGCATCTCCTGCTTGGGCAGCACCCTCTGCTCCCAGGCAGGTACCGAGTACAGGTTGGGATGCAAGGGCTGTGCTTGCAAAACACCCACTGGGTCCCTTCTGTGGGGTGAGACCCCCCTAAAGCCAGGCTGGGTGTCCCAGGAGCAGAGCCATCCCCTCCCAGTCCACCCTGAGCATGCACCAGCCATGGGGCTAGAGGAATAAAACACCTTGCAGACCCCAACCAACTCTGTGGCTTATGCTAACGGGGCAGCACAAACACACAAGGGTTATTCTATGGTAAAAGGCAGCTAATTACTGCAGATGAGCTGGGGACGGGGGGATTAGTGCTGGTGGTCAGCCCCCGTCCCCGCACCGGACGCCAACCAACGTCTCTCAACACACATCTGAAGAGGAGACTTGGTTTAATCCCGGTGCAAGTGGGAAGCCAGGGCTCAGGGCAGCACCGCAGCCGGCTGAGCCGCCCAAGGGACACCAGCCCTGGCTGAGCTGGCCCAAAAACCAGCTCCGAAAGGGCCGCGGGCAGGGGGATGTGCTCCAGCAGCTCATCCCATGGGGAGACCCAGGGAGCGTTTGGGGTCCGGCCGCCCAGTTTGGGGCACGCAGCATCACCCGGGTGCACGGGACCCTGCCGCACCCCCCCGGGCTGCAACATCGCCTCGATGCAGCATCGTCCCGTCGGCACGAGGGGACCCGGCCTTGCCCGCTCTTGTCGGGGGGGAGCAGCAGGGTGGTGGGGGGCACTGCCTGCCCCCCCTGCACCCCCCGGCTCCCCACCACCTTTGTGTGAGCCTGGGGACTCATTTCCTGCCAGGATCCACTTTAAAGCCTTTGGGGCTGGCCGAGGAGGTGGGCTGGGGGGGAGCGGCCCCTCTCCATCAAAGGCGGTTCCCTTCCCCTCTCATTTTCAAAGAAATAAAAGCATTTACCTTGGGGAAAAAAAAAAAAAAAAAGAAAAAAAGAAAAAAAAGAGAAAAAAGGTCCTGAGCACGAATTAAGGCTGCTGGGGCCAGCAGCTACGGGGGTTTTGTTCGGGCTCTGGAGCAGAGGGTGCTGATATGGAACAGTGCATTTTAATAGCCGCTGCCTTTCTAAAGCGCACAAAAAGGGACGGTGCAGGCTGCGAGGGGAAGGGGGCGTCGAACCTCACACCACCCCGCTGGTGGGGGGACCAGAACCTGCTCTGCCCCGTTAACCCCCTCGGCAGCCGGCCTCGGCGGGAGCGAGGGCAGAGTCCGGCCCCGAGAGCTCAAGGCTGATGGACTTGGCACGTCCCTCCCCGAGCAAGGCTGCAAGAAATGTATCGCCTGCCCCGGGAGGGCTTCCCCGCTGACCTTGTCCGGGCCCTCCGGCCCCAGACAGATGGGGAACCGGAGGGGTCTGGGGAGGATGTGGCTCCCTGCCGCAGATACCCCAGGGCTGGCCCGTTGCAGCACCCGAGGCCGGTGCTGATGGGCACAGCCGGCTCCGGTGGGGACCAAGCCCCGTGGCCGCCTTCGTAGCACCATTCCCCTGCCCGGGGCTGGGTATCACTTAGGGTGGGCATGCACCGGCCACCAGGAAAGCCCCCCGCCAGAGCAAAGGACATCCCCGAAGCAAACGGTTAGCTCAGCGGATCGCAGAGTGGGTGCCTTCGCCCAGCCCGGCTCCGCGGTGCAGCCAGATGTGCCGCGGGGTTAGTAAAACATATCCACCTACCTGGGTCTGACAGGAGAACATGAGGAGCTGGAAACATCTGCAGCAGGAGACAAAAGAGAGAGAAACAGGTTGTTTTGTTCAGGATTAGTTGTTTTCTTTTTTTTCTCCCCCCCCGCCGCAAGGAATAGCTGCGTCTAACGGCACTAAGAATAAACTACTGATAAACCCGGGTTGCAAAGAATTGCAACAAGCGGCACGCGGGGCTTACATGGAGAGGTTCTGCAGGCTGATGGGCTGCATGGCGCTCGCCGAAGCCCCCCAGACACCGGCATGAAACGAAGGCACGGCCACGGGCTCTCTGCAAACCTGCCCTCCCTCACCACCGGCACATCCCCGCCGGGGCAGGGAAAGCCAAGGAGCAGCCTGTCCCCTCCTTCCTCGGGTGATCCCCCCGCTCGGGGCGGACGAGGGAAAAACCGGGTGAAACCCAGGCTGCCGCCGCGCCGGTGAGCCCACGTGCGATGCCAACGTCTCCGGAGCAGCAGCGACGACGGAGCATGGGGGAGGCAGCCGAGGTCGGGTCCTCTCCTCCTCCTCCGGCCCTGGGGGCTGCGTGTCCTACACCTTGGGGGCATCCAGATCCATCCTGTCCCCTGCGTCCCCACCCCATCAGCCTCTCATCCTTGGGCTAGTCCTCGGTTTGCATCTCCCTCCGGCAGCAGCTAGCGGGAAAGGTGGCCGCGGGCAGGGCACCGTCAAGGGCAGCACCCGTAGCCCCCCGCTCCATCGAGCCGGCAGCACCCTCCCAGTCCCGGCCCGGTGATGGGAGGCAGGTGGGCGATGCACAAAGTGGCAGCCTTTAAAGGTGGGGAGAGCCTGCGTGAAGAGGGGCCGAACCTCTCCCGGGAGGCAGTCGGCTCTGTGGAGGGAAGGAGGATCAGACGAGCCCCCCGCCTCGCCCAGCGGAGGAGAGGATGCCAGGGCAGGGGAGATGGGGGTGATGCTGGGGGGCATGGCGATGGTACCGGGGTGGGAAAAGCCCCCCGCTGCTGGGACACCAGTGCCAGGCCTCCGGGAGGGATGCGTTGGCAGGGAGGATGCTTTTTGGCACCCTCCTTTCACCAAGGTGCCAGGCACAGCCCCGGTCTCTCCGTCACACAGCAAAAGCACCGCAGCGGTTTTTAACCTGATGGTTTAGTGTTGGGGGGCTCTGGGGGCCCTGTTGCGGCTCCCCCCCCCCCTTCCCCCTGCCCGCTCCCAGCCCCATCAGCTATCGCCTCCCCGTCAGGAGGCTGTGCATCCCTCCATGCTCCGTTTGCTGGGCTGGGAAGGTGCTAAGTACCTTATAAACAGCCTGGTAGGGAGCTGGGGTAATGCCCCGGGGGGTGAAACACCCCTGCGGGGTGTGCCGGAGGGGACAGCACACGGGATGAGGGGTTTAGAACAGAAACCACTTGCCTCCATGCTTGTGCCTCAGTTTCCCCATCAGTGCAAGGGGCCCCATAGGAAAGGCATGATGGAGAGCAGCAGGGTACCCGCACCCCCATCTGCGTGAGGGGGGGGGGGCCTGATTCAGTGCTAATGACCCAAATTAGACCTCCCCTGATGCCTTCTCACCTCCTGGGCCAGGAATTCAGCCCAAAACACAATTTGCAGCCCCCAATAACCACAAACATGGCATCTCCCACTCAGGGGGTCCCCTTCCACCCCAGTGGGGACATGCAAACACCCCCCATCCCCTCCCTGAGGCTCAGCACCCCTCGGGGGCCACAGGGCAGGGCTGTGCCTCGGCCCCTCCAGCCACAGGGGATGATTGATGGCCACGGAGCCGTCATCACTCCTGGCCCTGTCCCCCCCGGTTTGGGGCAGAGGGTCCTGGGGAGCCGTCAACGCAGCGGTGGGGGGGCTGGCTTGTGCAAGCAGCCCCTGCGGGGCGAGGAAAGGCTGAAGGGACAGGGCTGCCTGTCAAAGCCTTCTGCGTGTGGCCCTCGCAGGGAAGAGCCCTGGGAGGGCAGCCCCTGACACCCCCCCCCCTCCCCATCCTTGCATCCCAAATGGGGCACCCTGCTCCCTGCAGACGGGGCCTGACCTGGCCCCAGGTCCCCCCCCAGCCCTGGCATCCCCCAGGGGCTCAGCCCTCCTGCCCCACACCTGGAGCAGACTAAAGCCTGCCTTTGTGGCAGGCTCGGCTCCCCCCTCGGAGCCAATCTGAGACACAGCAGTCCCCCGCGCGCTCCCGAGGGGCTCCGGACCCTCCACAAATACCTGCTGCCTCCAGACCAAGGCCAGGTCAATGGGTTATAATCATCTCCCTGCTGCTCGGTAATCCCCCTTTGTCTCCTATTCACAAGCAACGCTCGTTACCCTGCGTAGGATGGCGGGGAGGGGGGCTGCCACCGGCCCCCCCCCATTCCAAGGGGAAGGATGCTGCCAAGGTAGGCAGCACGCCAGAGCCAGGGCAGCGGGCACAAGGCTCCTCGCAGCCATGGGAGGAGGCAGGAGCATCCCACCACCGGGATGGAGGATGCTCCTATGCCCCCCCCCTCCCCAGCCCCAACCCCAGCACGGAGAGCCAGGAGTGCAAAATAGCCTTTATTGGGGAAGGACAACACCAAACCAGCAACTTTCCAGGCTCTTCTGCACCTGGAAGGGAAAGA